TAGTGTGACACACTTTCAGACACTCACACTTATTATCTCTATATTATTCCATTATAAACCTAAAATTAGCTACATCAAAAGCGTTGGGGTAGTTTGCAAACCCTACAGACTATTTGCAAGGTTATAAAATTGTTACATACCTGTAAATGCATGTGTATGTGAGTGCAGACTTGTCTCAAATTGAAAATCTCATGCCAGCCAGCTGACCAAAGTTGGCAACCCCGCTTATGGTTAATTATTCGACAGAAAGAACTGTGAAAACTCAACGTTGGGGAAGCATGGCACCCAATGTGGAAGCTGGCCCTGACTAGATCCTTTATTTGTCCTGTCTAAATTGTGTCACCTGTCCCTGACTAGATTCCTGGTTCTTTGCCTGTCTACACTGTGTCACTTGTCATTAAGGTGGTCCTGAGTAGATCCCTGACTCTTTGTCTACTAAACCAAGTCAGCCATCATTAAATCGTGAAGTGATTGTGACGTTAACGGTAACCTGTCATATTCCTGTGCTCCCAGGGCTGGAAAGAGGCTTCAGTAGATGATGAAGTCCACACTTTCAAAGGGGGTTGGGGGGGGGGAAGATGTCCTCGAAACCTCAGTGATTCCATCTCTTTTTGAAGGAAGGGAACATTAAAAGAGGTGCTTTGCCCAGTATAAAATACGGTGCTTTAAAGGCAGGCGAAGGAATCTAGGGAGCAACATCTGGAACAGCGGTCCGCTGTTAAAATCAAAGGAGTAAAACATTGACAGGGAGGCAGAATCAAAAACACACCAGATGGCAACTTAAAACACACTTTCGCTGTATATTAAATATATTTATAAAGGGGGAGCTGGATGGTGGCTGTAACCACTGCTGATTTCTGACAGGAAGTTGATGCTGTCACTGACTGCCATCTTCGCAGTTTGTGTGTAATATTGAATTTCTCCTATTGATCACATGCTATATTTAATGTTGAGATCCATGTAGGATGGAGGTTAATTGTCATTCTAAGCTCTTAAGTGCCACCAATCTGAATGGCACTTGCCGTGTAAAAAGCCAGGCCTTCTCCCTGCCCTCCTCTGCCTCTCTTGTCAGGCAAGGGTGTCCCCTGCTCTGCCCGACCCCCGAGTCCCCTTGTAAGGGCCCCTTTAACGTGAACGGGTACCGCCAGTGACAGCTCTTCGAGCCCACACCATCTGTCTCGTCTTGGGCAGCAGGGAAGGCTCCACTGTAATTGATAGCAACATGTTGCCGTGGTGATGGGAAGATCCCTACCCCCCCACCCGCCCACTCCCAGTCCCCCTGGACAGGACGCTACTGTCCATCTTCATTAAGTTCTCCTCCCCAACGTTGAAGCGAGCTGGCTGCGGGGCCAATGGACTCCTTTCTTTTCCTCTCTCTGCTTCGTTCAGTCGCAGGAGAAAGAGAAAACGAGAGACTCAGGAGGAAGACTCACAGAGAGAGAGGGAGAAGACTCTAAGAAACATAGCTGGGATGTCCCGTAGGCATGCTACACTCCTGGCTTTGTTTGCTGTTCATTATGCTGCTCTATCCAGTTATCTTCTGGGACACGCATACTAGGAAAAGCTACCTAAAATCCCGGTATCAATTTAGCAGCCTAGACCGTATATGTGGAATGCATTTTTGGCACAACTTTAGTTATAATTATATCTCCCTAGAAACCATAAACTGACTAAATTATAGACCTGTCCTGTTTCTGATTTATCTCCTACAGAGAGCCTGTACCCAGTAGTAGTACAGGGATGTTATTGCCTCTGTCTACCAGTGCCAATATCTAAGCAGGGTACAGAGGAGTTTTTCAATTACCTTTGAATGGAGTCCACTTTCCCCTTATAAAAGTTTATAAAAGTAGACATATGGGTTATCGGTGTCCTAAGCTGAAGGTGAAGCTACAGCAGATGTCCAGGAGAACTGGAAACAGTTCCTCGTCCATCAAAGACACCAAACGCGTGTAAATCTCTAGTATATCACCAGGACTTTCATACCTTCATCCCAGATGGTAACCTCACATATGATCTGCAGATGTTCATGCTAGATTGAGACCTCACAAGAGTAGCTCCAGATGTTCATCTTAAATGGAAATATCAGAGCAACCTGCAGATATTCACTCTGGGAAAGTATAAGTTCTTAGGTCAGAGTGAGAAGGTATCTTTCACCAAGATTCTGCCTGGTAAATGTTCACGCGTGTGAACATTGACATGCATCTAAGAGCCTGATTTCCACACCTGTGTTTCACAATCTGGTGGGTCACTGATGTCATATCCTGGATTGGGTCCAGTAGGAGGCAGAGTTAATGTAATGTGAAATGTTGCCATCCTAAGCAGCCATCTCCTTTACCTTTTTGGAGGTGAGTGTTTTTCCCCCAGGCCAAAACTGGTGGTTTGAGGAGCAAGGACAGAGCCGCTAATCTTCCGTAGCTATGATCTCCAGACCTCAGTCCATTAGCCTATTTTTGGAGGCCTCTTCAGAGGATCGCACCGCAGAAGTTACCACTTCTGCTGAATCTGAAAAATGGTTCCAGAGTCCCGTTGAACCGTTTCAGCATCCGCTGCATTTCGCTGCCAGGTCGCTCTATGGTGGGATGAGGCCTGAAACCCGCGGCGTGTGGGACGAACCCGTGCCGTCATTCATCAAGTAGTTTAACCCACTTTAAAGCCCCTTCTCATAAATGCTTTGTCGCTTCCCGTTGGGAACTGTTCCTGCTGTTTGGATTCACCCTGTCCTCCTGTGTGACTTCGTAGGAGGACAGTGATGCTTCACCGAAAATCTGAGGATCTGGGCAACGGCAACAACCTGCACCCATTTAAAAAAAAGACCTATATGAGTGGGCTAGTTAATCATTATTTGGATTTTATTCTGTTCTAAACCTTGTTAATGATTTGATTTCCTGTAAATTGAGTGAATGGTCAGCTGGGTCAACAGGGGGCGCATTGGTTAAGGTGTAAAGGTGAGGAAGCTATAAGATGTGTTCATTACCACTTAGATCTAAGCTTACAAAATCAAATTTAAAAAAGTGAAATGAAGTGACATGAAGCAGAAATGGATATTTGTATATGTGTAATTATTAATTTTGGGTGTTTTTTAAATTAGTTTTTCATTTGTTTTTTTGAGATCAGAGGCTCTTTGTTGTGATCTTTGGACCCGACAGCAACTTGATCCCTTTAGTTTAACGGAGCAGATTGATTAGTTTGGTTTCTGACTAATGTCTCAATGAAGACCCTTTTTTTTAATTTTTTTTTTAAACTTCAGAAAATGAGTCTGTGCAAAGATGATCATGCACATGTTGCAATGCTGTCCCCGGTCCAGGCTCCAAAAAGTCCTTTCGGGCAGCTCCATTGACCTCTTGGCCCCATGGTAATTCTTTGGGGTTAATGCTACGTCATTCATGAATTCTATTTTTTAACACAGAACTTAAGAACAACGTAGCGTTAAGAAGGCTTCGGGAAACTCACCCTTGCTCTTCTCTGCATGCATTCCAAAATTAATATTAATCTTGATTTATTTTGCTTGCTCTCTTTTATTGGTGAAATTTAAAAACAAGTGAGACTGATTAGGGGAAGTGGGACAGAAGAGAAAGACACTCTGGTTTGATCTTTTGTTCATTAATTCTGCAGTTTCTTTCCATCATGTATTTATTATGCATCGGCAACAATGTAAATAGCTCCTGCTTGGCTTGTGAAAATCACCTTAAACATGCTCATTGGGCCGTTAGCTCCTGCTGTCTGTTTCTCTGCCTCTGAAGAGATTTTGTTTGATGTGTTGTCAAATTAAAGGATTTAAATGAAGGATTGAAACTGACTGATTGTCAGAGATATCGCTCTTAATTAGCTTCTTAGTAAATCCACCGGCATGTTTCACTCTGGGAAAATTCTAAAGACAAGATGAGAGGATGACCAGCAGCCATTGTCTAAGCCCCAAAAGAGATCAGACACACACACACACACACCTGTGTATGTAATGTGGCGTGGGATTTATGTGTACGTGTGTGTGTGTTTAACGCTGAGCATGTTGTTGTTGCATGCTAGGAAATGACAGCAGCTAGTCAACCCCGCCCCCTCCCGCATACACACACACACACCTACCTACCACCAGCATGCTGTTTTGCATACACCTCGCCATCTCTCGCATAAATGACCCGCTGTTCTCGGCCACCTGCTCCAATCAGCTTTCGTGTCTCATTTGTCTCCCTTGCGTTCAGATTGGAGGCTTGCCGTCGTCGTGACGAGGTGTTATTGCTCCGCGTTTGCGTCGGCGGGGTGATGTGTCCCTCCGCGGCCCCCCTCACATACCCCCCGCAGGTGCACAGGCATACAACCCCCGAGGCAGAGAGGCAGCTACCCTAACAAGCTCAGTCGGAGTCTGTGCTTTTAATTGAATAATTTATGGCGCGTGTGTGAGTGTGTTGTGTTTTGTGTGACGCCCGTCCGCAAGCTGTGCATCAACATCATCTGCCTCGTTTTCTGTTAAATGGCCTAAATGTTTCAGTCGTGGGACGTGATTAGAGTCTGGGCTCTTAGGGTTTATTTTTAGTTAATCTGGGGTATCTGGGGTGTTGGTCAGAAGCCCCCTGTTTGGGGGAGTGGGGGGGGGGGTAGTGGCCCTCAGTGCTCTGCTGCTGTTTGTGATTTTGGATCTCCCCTTTTTTGTGTCATAAGCTACCCTCTGTTCTAGGAAAGCGTCTGCAGTCTTGTCTGCAGAGGATAGCGACTGGAGACCTAAAGCTTGAACATTTTTCCTGCCACTTAAGGAAAGCATTTCCCTGATGCCCAGCCTGCATGTGTTTTCACGCAAATGTACACATTGTTTGGAATGTTCAGCTGTATTTTATGTTTCCGTGGTCCTACAGTTTTATTGATGTGTTTGTTGGTATTGCATTTTGATCTTTTTTTCGCTGATATTCATTATTTTCCCCCCATTTCTGTACAAATGAGCCAGACTCTTGCATAAACAGACTCAGATGTGGAGATTTACAGCCGTTTTCTCCTCTCTGCTCCTTTCCCAGTCAGCAAGCTGCGACTGCACCACTCCAACCAGAGCCTGTCGTTTGTGGAGGATAGCCGAGTGCGGATCAACTGTTCCATCGCGTCTCAGACGGTCCCTGAGGCCCAGCATGCAGTGCTCTGGTACGTCCACAAGGGCGGCGAGCCGGAGGCAGGGGCAGAGCTGCTCTTGAAGGTGCGACGTGATGCTGCCGTGGAGTACGGCGCCTATGCTGACGAGGAGCGGCTGGAGCGGCGGGCGCAGCCGGAGCGCCTCTCCCCGCAGCTGTACGCGCTGACACTGCACCGCGCCGAGACCAGTGACAGCGGCACCTACTTCTGCCAGGTGGAGGAATGGCTGCAAGACCCTGGAGGCGCCTGGTACCGCCTGGCCCTGGAGGCCTCGGGCTTCACCCGCGTGGCGGTCCACCGGCCAGGTAGCATCCCCTCCGACGTCACCGTGCATTCACCAGCTCATTTCATTTAAAATTAATTTATTCACAGGTTTATTTACGGATTTCACTGCGGCTAGTGGCCCATACGATGTGTTACATTCACAGATTTCTAGGCAGAATCCTGTGACTCACTTGAGTGTGTTACATATTAAAATTGTTTATTTTCCTCCTCGAAAAAAACTGTTAACGCTTAAATTATTATCATCTAAAAATACATTAATCCACCCCTCCGGATCTCCCTGTAGACGGAAAATTATCATTATTATTATTGATTATTATTGTTACTGTGGTATGCAGTTTAGCTTCTTACCCGTATCTGCCCTGCCCATCGGCAGAGGTGCGTCTGCAGGTGGAGGAGGCGGAGTTTAACGTCACAGTGACGGAGGCGGAGTCCATACGGCTAGGCTGCAGCGTCTCGTCACAGTCGACAAGAGACTCGCGCTTCTCTGTGTCCTGGTACGTGGCGCGTGCTGGGGAGGGCGCCGGCGAGCAGCAGTGCATCTTCTCCATCGGCCACGATGCTGTCTTTGGGAACGGAAACTGCAGCCCCGCCGAAGACCCTGGGCCCAACTCCCGGCTGCAGTTCCAGAGGATGACCTCTGACCTCTACAGCCTGACCATCCAGGGGGCGCGGCCCAGCGACTCTGGTAGCTACTACTGCCGTGTGGAGGAGTGGTTTCTAAACCCACGTAATGTGTGGTACCGCCTCACCACCAACGACTCGGGAGTCACTGTGGTCACGGTCCTGGAACAAGGTAAGAGCCGACTAAGCCCCTTCCACAAACGACCACTATCCGTTTCACTTTCAGAAGCCTTTGGGGGGGCGGGGGGGCTGTGTACTGTCAATCATCAAAACAAGTGCCCATTGGTTACCTCGTTGGTTCCCATTAGGTTATACCATGGAGTAGTTTGGAGATTCACGCATGGAAATGCTTAAATGACTAAACGTTTCTCATTTTTCTCTTTACATTTTTCTGTCTGTATCCAGCATCCACGCTCCAGTCTGTCATCTGCTCCAACGACTCTCTCTTCTATTTCGTCTTCTTCTACCCCTTCCCCATCTTCGGCATCCTCCTCATGACGGTGCTGCTGGTTCGTTACAAGGCCCGGAACCTGGGAAAAAGCCAGGAGGGCAAGAACGGGGTCCCGCTCCTCTGGATCAAAGAGCCTCACATCAACTACTCCCCAACCTGCCTGGACCCTCCAGCGCTCAGCCTCCACCCAGGCTCAGTAGAGTAAGATGCTGGGGGGGGGGGGGGGGATATAGGTCACACCTGTCCTGCCACCCCAATCTCCCCCACCCGAAACCCTTCCACAAGGAGGAAGAAACCAACAGGAAAGTGTTCCTTTAAGAGCCTGGGGTGTCTTCAACGTGTCGGGGCTTCCAGATAGCCTGCACATCTCAGCCACTGCCGGGGGCAGGACCTCTGGACTGTTTTGCAAAGGATTACGACTTTCCCCCCCCCCTCAGATATATTTATTTTGTTTCATCATCGTTTGAAGTTTGTCGGCCTGGCTTTGATATTAGCCAGGCGGCCCTGTGACCGAATGAACGAAAGTCACCTGATGCCAGTCGCGCTCTCGCTTTCCGTCTCCGTGATCCGCTGTTGCTCCCAGAGCATCAGGTCCTCCTCTTTGGATTGCTTGCCTCGTGTTTTAATCTTTATTTCCTTGTGCTCTTTCTGTTTGTCGCCGCTGAGATAAACACCTTGCTGATGGTTTGTTTACTCTTGCTTGGCTTTGAGAGACTAGGTGAAGCTGATGTTTTTGGACTATAAATAAGTGGCATCACACACACACACTCACACACAGAAAACATTCATGATGTATAGAGATGACTTCTTTGTAAACACATTGAGGGGACCAATGAAGGAGTGCGTACTATTTTACGTGTCTTCACATTGATGTGGAGAGACCTCAGTCCTCGGAAGGTAACAAGATGCCACCTGAAAGACAGTTTAGTGTGTGTCTTCAGCAGCAGCAGGCCCGGCTCGTTGGATTCCAACATCGACTTGGCCAAAAGACGGTGGTCTATGAGGACGCATATGCCCCCAGACTGCAGCTGTGCTGTTTCAGAAGCAGCAATGACCTGGGAACTGCTGCATCTGCTGCATTCATCTTGGACACGACGAGAAGTGTTGACTGATGCTGGAGCTTTACTCACTGCCAAATGTAGGGACATCGAAGATTGACGATTAATAAGAGGAAAAGTAATGAATGATTTTGTAGTCATGCCTCCCATTTGGGGGCAGCCGGGGGGAGAGGGGGGTGGTTGTTAAAATGGTGGGGCAGCTTTCAAAGACCTGAGAGAACCTGATAATTGAGAAAAACAAAATGTGGGTAATATTCACAGGCTGGATCGGTAAGTGGGCAGGGAATGAACACTTCACATCCCTCTTATCCCGACGCTGTCATTTTCTCATCCCCGGAATAGCGGCAGATTGTTTAAATCACATTAACAGCACTGAGGGACGGTGTCAGACACGCCGACGAATTTTACTGCATCCTTTCTCTCTCTCTCGCTCTCTCTCTCACCCACACACACACACACACACCCCACACATGCAAACACTTAATAAGAGTATCATCTCTAAGCATTCATGGAGTGTTTCTAAAGACCAATACGGATGTTTCAGCACCAATATTATGTATTTTTACCTTTTGGGAGGTCTGAGAGACTTCAAACATACTTTACACCCTCACATGCATGTAGAGGAAAGAGCTGTAAAATGGTAGATTGTGCTGTTATTTGTATTTTTGAGTTTTGTGTTTCTTTATGGTGCTGGTTGTTTCTTTGTTGTTTTTTTGTACAGCATTGTATTTTGCAACCATTAACTAGCCAGAATGTCAGCCATTTAGTATTAATGCCAAGGATGTGGTAGATCAGTGTTTCTCGAGGCCCACCAGACGGCCCACATTTTTGCTCCCTCTCAGCTCCTATTGGCTTTAAGGGTAGCAAAAGCATGAACTGTCTGGGGGTCCCCAAGGACTGGGTTGAGAAACACTGCGGTAGATGAACAGAGCAACTGAAGACTGCCCTGGTTAAGTTTGTCTGTTGAGCTACATAGAGGTGAATGGGACAATAAGAACACTATAGAGAGACAGTAACTTGAACAGAACTGTTGCCTGGTGTTAAGGTCCCACCACTGATAGAAAGAATAGATCTGAGTGCTGAAAACTTTAGGAGCAGACAGCGTAAGCGCACATGACACTAAGTTCTAGTCATGTGCAGTGCCAGTAAAGACCAACAACCTGTTCATGCAGCACTGCTTCATCAGTCTGGTCTCACATTCAGCCAACTTCAGTCATCAAAGCTCACGGCCCTTCATCTTTTTTGCCCCACTGACACCTCAGAGACCAGCCACACAAAGACTTGCATCAACCAAGCTACTGACAGCCGGAGTAAGGCAAACCCCAGCATACCCTGTGGTGCTCAAGGACCAGGGCTGGCCTCGCCTGCCTGAAAAAAAATATTGCCCATATGTTTTTTTTTTTAACCAAAGCTGGTTAAAAAAGTATGATAATTGATAAAATGTGGCAGTTTTCTTTGGCACAAGATTGGGTTGATGGGCATGGTTTAATTTCACAATGGGAGCAGGCAGTGTGCGTGAGACTTCCCGTGGACAAAGTATGGGCAGATGGCCCAGCGCACAGAGACAAAAATCAGCCTCAGAAGTTTCGATGGAGGGCTGCAAGCTTGTGATCTTCACTCCTCTTACTCGTGTCAAAGTCTGAATTGCATGACAAGTGGAGGGGGGGGACGGGCATATTTAGACGGCATTCTGTAATTTCACATGCAGACAGATGCCTTTTGTAACATCAATGCCAACCTTTCTACTGCTGGATCCTGCTCTGCGATGCAGACGGAGATATTAGAGATACTGAGCTTGTAGGTGAAAATTAGAACGACGCATCAAACAAAGTGCCAGTAGACGATCTGCTGTAAATGTGGTAGTTCTAGATAATCCAAATGGACAGTAGCACTTTGAAACAGCTGTATTTATATGTTTGTTCTCCAACAAAAAAGGATGTTGAGGTTCTTAGGTGATCTCTGTGGATGTACCAACTAATGACTGACGGGTGTCTGAGCCTGGATCACAAGAAGCACATCAGTTGTTTTTTTTAAGAAACCTCCCCCTTGGCCTCTTCTGAAAATCCCATGGCCCACCCTACTGGCCCACTGAGAAGTGACTGAAACTATCAATGATTGTCTGTCTTTTTAGATTTCATTTAAGATTTAAAGACCTCATCAAACACCATATGGTCTGGAAAGCATGCCCTCCTACCATGGATGCCCAAGTTGGGTGAAATTAATTTCTAATTTGTTTTTTTTTTCCAGTTCTCCTGTAAACAGGGTCACTATCGTTCTCGCACAATAATTCAATGTACTGTGAAGTCATGCAGATCCTGCAAGTCTGAAAAACCTTTTAATTGCATCTCTGGGGATTTGTGCCCATTAACCATGTTGTTATGAAAGGCTACACGTCCGAAAGAAGACTGAGAGAGTGGCATTGATTTTTTTTTTACTCTTATGAAACAGCTGTCAAAATGTAAAAAAAAAATGGTAAAACAATAGCTCAGATTGTGTTTTTGTAACTTTGATGTAAGCTGGCTCTAACATTCTCACGTTGATGCAGATACATTTTAAGAGCGTTCTGTGTTGGTTGCTGGCTGATGAATCGCTGTAAAACGTTGTGCTCATGTATTCGGTTCAGCCAGCGCTGCTACTTTTAGGTGTGTGAGTGTTTCGTTTTCTACATATATTTTTTAAATTTCTCACGTTACAGTGCACTGAATTTAAAAGGAAGGTTATAGCTTTTACGGTTTTATTTTTTATTTTTATTTTTTTGGTTTGTTGTGACAAATTTTGTTTTATTGAACTGTAGCAGTTGCTTTGAAAGGCAAAGAAATAAATGCACATTCCCAGTCTTTGAACTGCATGCCATGGTGTCTATTTACTTGGATTGCAGGTTAATCTGTGTGTGTGTGTGTGTGTGTGTGTGTGTGTGTGTGTGTGTGTGTGTGTGTGTGTGTGTGTGTGTGTGT